GATTAATTTAGTAGTTTTAGTTTTTCTGAATCTTCATTTAAATTCGAACTCGAACTCATCTCTGTATAGTTAATATTTTTAAATAGTCTCAACAGTGTTTACAATAGAGAAGTTTTACTATATAGGAAAAAAAAAGAACTTGATGTATTCTTATTTTAGGCGCATTACAAGCAGGTAAAAGTGTTACACGTGAAGTTTGTCTTGTTAATCGAAGTCGTGCACAAATATCAAATTGTTATATTACATTACTTCCTTCGGAAAATAGTATCACTCGTGATATTCTAACTATTCAACCAACAAGTCCAATATCATTAAAAGCTCGAGGTGGTACAACAACAGTATCAGTTAAATTTACACCTCGTTCACGTTTAGCACCATTTGTTGAACAAATCTTTTTAAAATATGGTGATTTAGATGTTCCAATGTTTGCTGTACGTGGTTGTTGTCAAGGTTATGATATAACACTTGATTCTGATACATTACCATTTGGTGCTGTTGGTAAAGATTGTTCATTAACACGTAAACTTATTTTATCTAATCGAGGTGATATTGGTGGTTCATTTTCATGGAATCTTAGTCAATTACGTGATACACCATTTCGTGTATTACCAACAAATGGTTATATTGCACCAGGTCAAGATATAACAATTGAATTTATTTTTCAACCACGTACTATTCGACATGATATACGTTGTGATAAACTTGAATGTCGATTAGAAGGTACACAATCTGTTTATGTTACATTAAGTGGTTCATGTGTTGAAGTTGCACCTGCACGTGAAACAATTATTATATCAACAGCTGTACGTACAAAAGAATTATCAAAACCAATTGTTTTAAAAAATAATACAAATACATTATGGACATTAACACCTATAATAAGTGGAGAATATTTTTCTGGATCAGAAACAGTTATTATTGAACCAAATTCAACAAAAAATTATGAATTAACTTATTTACCATTAACTGAAGGTAATTTTTAAAATATAATGAAAAAGTAAATTTTAAATTTTTTTTTTGTTTTTTTGTTTATATTTAGGTAAACATAATGGTACATTATTTTTTCCATTACCAGATGGAAATGGTCTTCTTTATAATGTTATTGGTAATGCTGAACCACCACGTGCATCAGGTAAATTTATACGTGAAGTTCCATGTAAAACACCATATGTTGAATTATTACCAATTGAAAATTGGTTAAAAAAACCACAACGTTTTCGTGTAACACATGAAACAATTAAACAAGATCGTCCAGAAGTTGCAACAACAATAAAATATCTTGAATTTATTGATGTTGCACCTAAATCAAAACGTGATTTTAAATTACAATTTTATTCATATAAAGAATGTATACAACAAATAAAAATTATTTTTAAAAATGAACAAACACAAGAATATATTTGGTATGATATTACATTTAAATCAACTGTTGATAAACGTAATGCACCAACAATAGCAAATATTGAATTAACAACACATGTACGACAACAAACATCACATGATATTATACTTGAAAATCCATTACCACATAAAGTTACATTTCAAGGTCAATGTTCACATCCGGATATACTTTTACCGCCAGAACAAGTTTCTATTCCAGCTAATTCTCAAGTAAATATTTATATGATAATTCATTAGAACTTGTCGAATCGTATTTTGATACTTCAAATGCAATTTTCTAATCGGAATAGGATAGCCACTTCGAAGATATGTGTTACAGGCATGTTGTTCACATACCCTCACATCGCTTCAGCTGTTATTATTATTATTATTATTTTTTTTTTTTTTTTCTTTTTTTTTTACGTCCTATAGCTCATCATACAATTTCATCCTCTTGTTATCCACATTCTTCACCTCTGCACGTTTCTTTTCGAACGCCTCGTCTCATTCTTTGTTTTTTTTTCTCTCCACGTTTTTCTTCATCCATCATTTTTCTCATTTCTAAACAATCTTCAGCTCCTCCTGAACATGTTCTATTTCATCATCACTTTTCTTAGTCTTATTTTTTCATGCACCCCCAGTCTCCATGTCAATCGTCGCAAACGATTTCTTAATAGTGTCGTTCATCATCGCATCTCCGTCTTAGAACAATCGCATAGTACTCATCGTGATCAGACACACAACATCTTCCTTGGAAGTGCTATTATCATTGGCATCGTCATTATTATTATCCTCGTCATTGTATTCTTCGTATATCGCCGTCTTCGTCGATCTATACGTCATCGTCAACCTCTCGCTCTTCAAGCACTTGATGCATCTGGCCTTAGTCAATTTCATCCGATGGGCAATATTCTTATGAGTACCCTTCGTCGTCTCGACAATTTGGAACAGACTGCTAAATCACCTGATGTACGCTATGCATCTCCACTTGCTTTACCACCGCTCAAATTTTAAAGATACTTACAACCCTCGTTATTAGTTGTTTCTTTTTTTTTTTTTTCATTTTTAATCATACCACTATACTTTTTTTTTCATATTATCATTTGTGCGCTCGTACATTTTTGTTCTCGGTATATATTCAGATTCTATCAATTTCTTTCGTTTTTTTTGATTCCTTATCACTTTCTGCTGCATTCTTATACCGCCGCATCTTTTCTTCATATCATCACACATCTTTTCGCTTATCATCTTAATCCGATTCTTTCAATTTTTTGTGTTTCTTAATGTATGTGGACACACATTTTCTGGTTGGTGGGGAGGTATGTTACAGGCATGTTGTTCACATACCCTCACATCGCTTCAGCTGTTATTATTCGTTTTCTCTCTGTTCGCCTTTGGCACTCGCTTCTTGTCTCTGTTCTGTTTTCGTTCTCTTTGTTTACATTCTTTGATTCTTTTTTTCTCTCATCGCGATGCTCTCTATCTTGGGTCGGGTCATTCGAAATAAAACTGAACTAAAAGAAGAAGCAAAAGGGACCTCTGATAATATGATACACTTTTTTTGTATTCGGGAACTCGTGCATTCTACACATTTCTCAGATGACTCGTCTGAGAAATGTGTAGGGTAGAACCCATTAACCTGATGAGCTTCATAATTCATTGAGTGAACCATTTTATGTCGATTCCTATACTCATGAGAGAACGTTCTCAACTGATCAATTGGTTTCTCACCGAAAGTTAGTGAATTATATCGACTATGCTGATTTTGAATATGACCATAAGAACTCTCCTGAGATCTTTATATACCAGTTTTCTAGAAAACCGATTTTTTCCGAACTAACAAAAATTCCTCTAAAATCGTTTTAGATATACTCAGATTGTATAATATATCAAGTTGCACATACAACAATAAACTTTTCTGTTTTTCAAAAAAAATGATAAAATAATATCATCTTGAAGATTTTCATATTCCAATGTTAATATGTATATCTGTTGTATCAAATTAAGATGGCTGTATTTCCTACAAAGAAAAGGTTACTATTTTCTAAACAATTCGATATGCTCTATAGTCTAGATGGATTTTTAAGCAAAAAAGTTTGTCGATGAGAAAGCTATTGATCACTTGAGAATGTTCGCTTGTTTATTATCTTGAGCGGATTGAAAAACATTTTTCTCAATATCTAGTTTATTAAGTTAATTCTACGATTTTAATTAGGTCTTCAATGTTGTTTTATGAATAATTTATTTTCTTTTATCTTTGTTAGGGTTCATTTAATTTTACATATATGCCATTAAAAGCTGGCAAAATTGAAACTCGTCTTGAAATAAATTCTGCTGAACTTGGTTTATATACTTATATGTTAACATTAAATGCACTTCCAGCTCGTCCTGAACGAACATTATATTTTAAAGCACCATTAGGTAATTTACAAGTATTAACAGCTAAATTTACAAGTTATGCTCGTACAAAAACTGATTATGTTTGTAAAGTAAGTAAATTCAAAAAAAAATTTTTTTTTTCTTTTAATCAAAATTTAATTTAAATTAATTTAGATTGATCATCCTGATTTTATTGTTGATCGAACTGTAACAGCAGCACCAAGTTCATCACCATCAACAATGGAAGTTAGTGTTGATGTTACATATGAACCATCACAATTAGGTGATGTACGTGCAACATTAACTATTAGTTCACCATCAACAAGTGATTATATATTTCCATTAGTTGGTCTTGGTGAATTACCTAAACCACAAGGTCCATTTACAATTAAAGCTGGTAGTAATACAACAATAACATTTAAAAATATATTTGCTCAAGCATTAACATATACATTTAATGTTGATAATCCACTTTTTCATGTAACAAAAAGTCAAGAATTAATTCAAGCAAGAAAATCACATAGAATTGTTGTTTCATTTGATGGATCGGATACAATAAATAAAGCTGATATTATGGCAAAATTAATTGTTTCATGTCCTAAAACTACTGGAGCAACAAATACATCAAGTTCAAGTGTACAATGGATATATTATCTCAAGGGTATTACTCCTTAATAAATAATATAATATTAATCATAGTTATCTTACGATGAAAACAGTGATGAAAACATTTACTTTCTTTTCTTTATTATGACTTCTTTGTTTAGAAAAAAATAAATAAATAAATTTTATTTCTCTTTAATTAAATAAAGATGAACTTATTAAATGAATAAAATAATGATCGTGATTTTTATCAATAAGACAGAAATAATCTGAAAACAAATATTGATTAATATTTCCAAAAAAATCCAGGTTTCAAAGAATCTCATTATTTACCTTTTCAATAATATGAAGTAATAATTGCAATATCAAAGATCATTTATAATAGGTCAAAAAAAAAATAAACTCCACACATAAATCCCAAATTTGGAGCTCATTTATGTATCCACGTTTTATAGACGAACTTTTATTCAAAAGATGTTATTTTTTATTGTCCTTCGATCTTTCCTTTCATTCTTATTAATAATAACTAACGATTGATATTAAGACTATGACAATCATTCACTTATAAGATATAGATGTACAAAAAACTTTATCTTTAACCCAGGAAAGTCTATTTGTTCGAATTGATTTTTTTTTAATTAAAGTTTATGCAAATTAACACTACTTTTGGTTAAGACGACCATACCATTTTCACCCCATTGAAGAATATCTTCAATTCGTTGATGTTGATCGTATTTATCCGATTTTAATAGTTTTCCATTAGCCGAAATATGAAAGAATCGATGATCATTATAATTCATTACTAACCATTGATCAATATTAATTGAACAACAACGACAACGTCCATGAATTCGAACTGACCAAATACATTCGAGTGTTGTTGATGAACGTAAATCAAGACGACTTTCATCTTTATGGTTATTAAAAATAGAAATAGCAAGAAAGTTATTCTTATATTTCAGATCACAAATAATTTCATTTTTTTCACATGTTATAGGTGAATGCCATTCTTTAATAAATTTAAAAGGTAATTGAAGATTAAATTCATAGATTGATGAACCCAATTCTACTGTTGATAAGAATAAAGTGTGTTCGGAACAAGTTCCACGATACCAATTTTCATTCAATGAAATAGAAGACTCTTCCAATATCATTGTATTTGCATCAAGTGTTAATATTTCTTTAAATGTAATGATAATAAATCGATTAATTGTTGATGACCAACAAATACTATGAATACCATAATGTGTATATGGTATTTCATTAATAATTTTTAAATTTTGATCAAGTAAACATAGATGTATATTTTTTCGATCAACAAGAAGATATTTATCATTGACAGCCATTGAACTTTCAATATCAGTTGTCATACGAATGGTTCGATAAGGATGAGATAAAGGAAAAATATGTTGTTGAACAATAAGTTTTTCATCGATAACTAATGGATAAAGAGTTAATCGAAGATTTTCTAATTCATTAATTTTTATTTCTGTTAATTGAATATTATGATTAATTAAAATATATTGATTTTCTGTTCGATTTTCTTCTTTAATTAATTGATTGACTTCATTTTGTAGATGATGAAGTTCTATTTTATACTTTTCTTGTTGTTTTTCAATTAAATCATGACGTTTTTTTTCGCAATATTGATCTATAGATTGATAAGCTGTTTGACGCCATTGTTCAAGTTCTTCAAGACAAAATGGTTGAGCAGATGATAATTGATGAAGAAGCTTATCAATTGTATCAAGTAGTTGTTCATTCGTTTGATGTTGATGTTCAATATGCTTTAGATGTACATGTGGCAGAGTTGTCTCTACAAGAGATTTACTTCTAAGTAGTGGAAACATGAAATACTTAAAACCAATCGAAGAATAAATGATATTATTTTTTATTTTTATAGAGATAACTTATAGGACAAAGTAGAAAGTAAATGACAAAATAAATGTAATCTAGACTCAAATTGATAAAAAACAAAAAAAAACAGAACTATCAATCATTGTCTTTTTGTCGCAAGAAACAGACAATCTTTCTTACTCTATTGTCTCTACCATTAATAATAGACTAGATTAAAAAAAATCACTAAATAAATTTCATCAAGTTTATCGATGAAATATCATCAATAGTCAGAGAGAACTATGAAAAAACAAATTTCATGTATAGTATCTAGTGCAAAAAATTCACAAAAATACTTTTACTAATTCAATTGATTGAGATAATGATTGTTCAACAAATTCATTGATAACTGATCCAATATTGGATTAACTCTGATTTATGTATTAAAAAGACAGTTCAATATATAATAGTAATGCAAATATATTCGATGTTAGTTTGTCTAATATAAAGTATTGATCGAAAAAGAAAAACTACATTTGTGAACATTTCAATTAGAATATTTATTATTATTCTTTTTTTTTTTAATTAATAGAATTAAAAGTAGAAGTATTCATTTAAAAAAAATATTCCATTTAATATGAGATTGATCCTTTTTGTTGAATTATCATTTTTGGTTATAATCGAATGATAGTATATGAAAGCATAACTCTATAACAAATATATTTTTAAAAAATTGATCAGATTGAATCAAGTAATTGTTGAAGTATTAGCAATTGATAATCTTATGTTACAAAGGGAATATCAAAAAGAAAATGTACTTTTAGATTATCAAAATTTTTGCTTGACTATATAATTCAAAATTGAATGAGTCAAACAATACACGATAGATTGTACTTCTAATGAAAACTGAAGCTGCTCTATACGTCAACTCAACCCAACACGTTATTCTATTCTTCTGGAAATTCTTTTAGAAGCAGATCTTCTTGATATTAACGTAAGAAAAAAAAAAGATACTATTATCTTATATTGCTAATGTCAATGATGCATAATTTGACCTATCATTGAATCAATACAGTGATAAATATCACGCTTTATATATAATTATTTGCACATAGAAGAAAATAATATTCGATATGCATTATTTTATCGAGTGTTTTTTAAAACATTCACTAAAATTTACTTATTGGAATCTTGATTATACAGATTTTTAAAAGGCAAGACATTTAAAAAAAAACATTTATAATGAATCGAGCTTTTTTCAATGTAACGATAAATATCTACATTGTCGATTTGTGACAGTGTCTTTACTAGAAATTGCTTTGAATTATTCGATCTTTTTTTTTTACAAGTAACATTTTTGTTTTTAACAACGGTTGATGTCAATATGAGTAACGGTTCTTTTATGACTTCAATTTTTTAAGTTGCAATACTTGATTGAGTTAATTTATCAAAAGTTAATCGTCAAGTATGCAATTTTCTTTAAGTGTCAATCATTAATTTTTATATGCCTGGCACAATATTCGAGTGAATGAAGTTTTCATTTGTAAATTTAACTGAATGTAAAACATTAACAGATCAACAGATATTGACAAAAATATTTCTACATCAAACGATTCTTACTTATTGGAACATTTTTTGAATGAGACAGAAGATGAATTCGAACAATTGTTTTTTTGACTATTGTTTTAAAGAAACAAAAGCGTCTATTTCTGTATGCAATGTATTCTATAGAAATAACGAATTAATTCATTTTCGCCGATTTTATCTTTACTGAATGAGTTCATAATCGACAACGGATATGAGCCAAATACAATCGGTTTTGTATAAAATATCTTGTTTTAAATAATTAGTTGGTTATCAAGTTACTTGCCTAGAAATTATGCATGAGATTGCGTTTCATTATTTGTTGAAAATCAATGCAAATACAGGAACGATGATTTATACACATCAATAGACACATATACATTTCATTTATTCATATATCTTAGTATTATATCTTCATCCTGATTCTCAGGTTCATTCGTATTCTTATCCTTCAAGAATTGGAACCAAATGATTCGTTAATGAACTAATTACTTAAAATAGGATGCTTTATACAGACCTGATCGTATTCGATCATGAATTCATTGTGTAAAAACAATCGTTGACGAAGATGGAATGCACCAATTTTCATATCTATATGTTAAAAAGACTTTATTGATAATAAATGAAGAGGTGATTAATCGTCCACCAGTAATATAATCTAAGACTTCTAACGGCTTAAAATCAGATTTTTGGATGGTATAATGAACATCATCAGCAATGGCAAGTTCTTCTTCTCAACAAATCCAATTGAATAACGACAAGAATCATCAAATGAACCATTAGCAATTAATTGGTGATCAAGTTGTTACTAATGGAAAATTGAGTACTGTCACTTTTATTGTATCAATAAAATTTGTGAAGTGTATGTGAGAAGTGAATGCGTCATTGTATTATTCTTTATGATTCTCAAGATAAAAATAGTAAAGAAATAAAAATATATATAGTTTATATTGATATGAGCTTCTGTTTTTAGATGTTTCTCATGAAGATACTTGCTTTTTTGAAACTGGACCAAACCATATTGTTTTTTGTTAATTGACTAAAGTTCAATGTCTGTCCCAACACGGAGCTAATAGTGATGATGATATATCAACGTTCAATAAAGCTCAAACCACTTCTTTCGACGATTCATCTAAATGATCTATTTTAACGTTTAATTTAGTTAAAAATACAACTTTTCACATCAATTATACATGTACAATTTCGATAATATATTCATAGAAATGATGCTGATGTCATAGGGGTAAATACAACAACAGCTGATACTAACACTATAGCAAATAATCAAACAGTATTGGTCGAATCATCATCATCTCAAAAACGACGTAAATTTGTGTATTTTAACTTCGAACGGTGTGGAAGGCAAAATATAACTGAGCAATGATGATAATGATGAGGAATTAAAAGAAAGAGAGAAAAATGACACACGCACAATGATCCACCAATACTGCAATACTACGAAAGTTCCACTAAAGCTGTACAATCTCACTGCTTGTTGCTTAGTACATAAGGGTGTGGGTGTGTGGGTGTGGGCGTGGGTGGGAGCGCAAGTGTATGGATATCTTCAACCACACCCACACCCACATCCACATCCTTATTTTTTGGGCTATACCTATGGAAAGTTCACCGTATTTCTGACTGAAAACATTTTTTTCGCTTTGACCATGCATTACGTTAGCTCGCGGTCGAACATAGTTTGCGAACAAGTAAAGAAAATTTATTGATATCTCAAGTTTCAAGATGAGCCTCTTAACTTTAGGTATCAACATTTTTTGTCGACCATCTCATACACTATTTTTAAGTAATTGCTATAGTTTATCATATTAATCAGATCTGAAATTCACACGTTTTTTCTATCGTAAAACATTTTTGAAAATGTCTAGCATTTCAAAGAGACATTCAATTCAGAAAAAAGACAAAAGTGTCCGGCTAGATAAAATGGATGGCCTGCCCGGTCCCACAATTTGGGTGTGGGTGGGAGCGCAAGTGTATGGATATCTTCAACCACACCCACACACCCACACCCACACCCACACCCACACCCTCACTCACATCCACATCCACCCACACCCACCCAATAAAGCACTTAAGCCATCCTTGTAACTAGCTTTCACGTGAGATCAAAGATATTCTATAAGAAAAACGACTGATGAGGGAGAGAAATATTTTTGTCCATGGGTGTAGCTGTTGTCGTTCCTTGCATCCATTCAATAAGTAAACAGTCCAATTGCACATCAATTATCGCTTTCTCTTGAAATGAAAGAAAAAAAGGCTGCACGCATTAACTATTAACATTTCATAGCGATTAGTTAAGTAAACAAGACTATGGCATAAAAATTTATCTGGCAGTGCAAAAGCAAAAGCTTTCATATAAGAAATGGAGAAGAAGCGAAGTGTCCGTTTTAATAATCAATACAACAAAAAATTGTGAAAAATAAGTGAATGTAAAAGAACTTCTAAAGCAAGCTGAGTGCCTTCGAAAAATAAAAATTTCAATTAACGTATTTTTTTTCTCCGACGCAAAATATTGATTCTTGACGCAAACTGTGTATTGTTTAATTTTTACATTTCATTTATTTTGAATCGTATAGAAGATAGTACAGTTCTTCAGCCGCCCTGTTTCAAAAGGCTATAGAATGCTTTTGAATAAAACTATTCTGTTTATTATTTTGCTACTCCTTGGTTTTGCATATGCAGATCATTTTCGTGGTGGCATCATATCATGGTAAGTAATTGTTATTTGAAGAAATAAGAACAATTGGAACTCATTTCTGAAAATTGTCGATTTCTCAAAATGGGTTTTTATTGATGAGCTGAGACATTTGTCACGTAGTTCAGTAGATATGAATCATTTTGTTTTTCATAATAAAATTTCTGCGATCCAATTCCAATCAAGAGTATTGTCAAACAATCGGAACCACGTTGTAAAAAAATGATCCCTAGTTTTGATGGAGATTTCCAGAATTTGTAGAGCGTTTCATTCTGATGGTATTCATAAAACAAATTTTCCAAAAATTTTTATTTGGATATACTTATCAATGTTGTATTTGATACTAATCTCACTAATCAATACCAGAGTTACACTGAGATTGACGAAGAGCAGATTACCAGGTATAAGCTCATGAGAATTAGGTGAAAATGAAGATAAGATTCTCGCTCTCAATTTCATAATGACTAAGAAATGTGTTACAAGAAAGATTTTAGAAAGCGATTTAGCTCACGTCTATTGAATTCTATTGATTTTTACGATTTCAAAATCGTTCCTGGCATCATATGTTAGTTTGTTCTCTCTTCGCTGATATCGTGCATGTTCTTTCAATCATTGCCATTTCTCATAATATATCCATCAATACTGGAGGCTGGAATCCCAGGTCAATCAATCCGACACGGATCCGATGGTATCTTATAGGATCCAACGAGTCCTACAAAA